GGTTAAATAAAGCAGGTTTTTTAAAAAAAGGTTTCATCTTTCTCGTGATGAACGAATTGAGTAATTAAGCATGTTCCCTTGACAAAAAAAATTGTGAAATTTAAAGGTATTAAAGTTTTTCCTGTTTACTAAATAAAATGCCTTCTGAAATCAAATTCGTACGTATTAAAGGAGAGTTGGCGATTAAATTGGGGAGAAGATTCGAGTTGTTTTGTTGCGAGTTGTTGATGAGGCACTTTGAAGAATTAGATGCGATAGTTACACACACGGGGTAAGTTTTCTTACTGAGTTATGTCGAGTCATTATGTATCCGAAGTTACGCTGTCACATTGACGTAAATTATCTGAGAATCGAAAGCACATCGGGCCACTGTTTCGGCAGTGAACGTTCTTCTCAGTTGTCAGTGATCCCGTCCGTCGCGTTGCCCGGGGATTTAATGATGAATAAGATACATGTTGGCGCCAACCACGTATGACGTTGAAACATATACTCATTAAATTATTTTTAGAGCGAGTGGTGACTGAGGTCGAGATATTATTGTAGAGGTTTGCGGGTACAGATTCGTGGTTCAGTGTAAAGCATGGTTTATAAATTGTATAGGTCGAAAAGAAATTGACGAGTTCAAGACAGTAGTCCGGGAAGGGAATTTTGATTTTGGAATTTGTGTCAGGGTCTTAGAAGAAAAGATTGCAACAGGGGCATATAAATCGGCTGAGAAGTCAGGAAGCTATATTATTGTCACCGTGTATACTAGAATGTCTCGAGATATTAAGATGTTGATCGCTGATCGATTAACAGAAAAAATCCGCACATTAGAAAATAGAAATAGATCATTTATAATTAATTATAATGTAATGTTTTGTTCGTTCTCTATAATGCCAATTGTCACTTTCTTGGCTCTTTTTTTCTTTTTAAGATTTTTTTCACTAAGCTGTATTGATTTTATTGCCGGGTACACAAACACGATTATATATGCTAAAGGGTCAGCTTTATTGATGCATCAACAGCCAAAACAAATTCGAAAAAAACATGTATATTTGCCTTGTTAAAAATAAAATAAGGCACATAGATGCCACACTAATTTCATGATCGCCACATACCCACGATCACGTCCAACACTTGCTTTATACATTTTCGGATAGTGTCTTACACAGATTGAACGATCCGATTTTGTATAAGCTTTACCGGTATTTAAATCGTAATAATATCCTTCTTCATCATCGTCAGAAAATCCACAGAATCTATCATCATATTCCTCTTCGTTGTTATCGGAGAATTTTTTGATGCGAAATATGAAAATTTCCCAGTAATCTCTATTATTTATTTCATATCCTAGTTTTAATAAACGCTTGCGTACATACTTTGGTGGATAATAT